AGAAATTAATATAATCAATGTGTTTTTTATTATGTGGACAGATAGCCCCTCGAATGTGAACAGATAGCCTTGCATATGGGGCTATCTGTCTACGCTTGACTTGTCCACTTAAAAAATTCGCCTCTTTAAAATGTTAAAGGATCAATGATTCTAATTATGTTTTTTTTAATAGCAAGGTTGAAAGATTATACCATTAAAATTTTAGCCAAATATCTTTATTAGTTTTTTAGTAAACTTGAAAAAAACGTGGACACATATATAGCCCCGGTCTCCCCTAATAAGCGATAATGAAATGTAATGAATATAAAGTGTTACTATTACGACGCTGTGGCAATCGTTTTGTAAGCAAATAAAGCCTTCTCTTTGTCTTTTATGATCTTCATTAAGGCGATATTTGCTTTAAAGAGTTACATTTGTTTTATAGACAGGGATAAATTTTACACGAAGTAAATCAACGCGAATGACCAAATCAACTTTCAGCCGAAGATTCTTTAAATAATCAATGGGCTCCAAGTAGAAATTGTGTACCAGAGGAGCTATCATTGCCTTTAATTCCAGCATAGCAAATCGTTGGCCTATAATTTGGTACGTATTGTAATCTGTTTATATAACACTGCATTGTATATTAAGGTATAACAGATGCAGCTTACCGATGCAGTTACGTGGTCCAGCACTGAATGGTAAATACGAATAAGGATGACGATTTCGGATTCTTTCTGGCAAGAATCTATCGGGATCAAATACTTCTGGATTTGGCCAAAAATTCGGATCTCTGTGGACTGCGTAAATATAAATATTCACCATTGTTCCAGCAGGTACCAAATATGATTCTAAAAAGTATATTATACAATAAGATTTACAAATAATCATTGAAAACTATATTAAATTTTTAAAATTGAATATACATCTAATATACAACATAGAAATAGATGCCTATTAAAGATTTAAATTTTATTAAGAAATTGTTAGTTTAATACCATTTTCTGAAAATATTGTTTGTTGCATTAGATATAGCTATGTATATAAAATTTAGAAATATTACAGAAGCAAACTTATCAATATAAATATTAAAATATTAAAATGTTAAAAATATATAAGAATATTGTATTTTTTACATACGTGGTATGTCTAGAAAGTAATGAGACTGATTTTTTTTTTCCTTACAACTGGTAACATTGTAAAAATGAGATTGTAATAGACCTACATTCAGACTCTACCACACACACACACACACACACACACACACACACACACACACACACAC